CATGCATTTCTGCTGAATTTTTTGTTGCTATTCTGTCTGTTACAATACACCTACCATTTGATTTTTAGACTGATCTTTGTGAGTGGGCTAACATTCAAAATCAGCAGGGGATCAAATACATATTTCCTTCACTGTAGGTTTGTGGGCATTGAGTTTGTTTTAAAGAGGAAAATTAGACTGATTTTTCAGGATTCTACAAAATAGTATCTGATATCTTGCTACTCTGTCATGCTTCCAGGAACATCCCAGGGAATGTAATGTCATTCCAAGCACTGCAGAAGGGGTCAGACAAGTACCTATAAAGCTCATGAGACCCAGCTGCCTTCAATATATACACACACTTACAAGATACACTGCGCCACTTTGGGAGAATGTCCATGAAGCACCAACATGAGATTACAGATACACCATGTAATACATATGGACAAACATGCCAAAACAGAACTCCAGGATGCTGTAAACAGCCATTTGCCTGTATTTATGCCCACACAGATTTCTTCACCTCTTTGCAGTTTTAAGACTGGTGGTCCCCCCATGCTACAAAATTTTTTTTTTTTTTTTTTTTTAAATTAAATGTTAAAACAATTTTTACTGCTACAAGGCAGTCCTGTACAATATCTGATTTTGCACTTCTACCATAGGAACGCAAGGGTGCTGCCCGCAGCTCGCTAATGCTGGGAAAACAATTACAGCAGAAGCTTATCTGCAAGTCCTGTTTGCTGGCACCAGCCAATCAGGCAGGACAGAAAATAGCTCTGCCTATGTAAACAAGGCAGAGCTCTGTTTGGACAGAGGAAAGTGAAAGATTGTGTCCCTGCAAAGCTGGGAACATAATCCATCACTTCCCTTAGTACATTAAGCACATAGCTAGGTACAGTTAACCTTTTGATTGCCCTAGAGGTTAATCCCCTTCCAACCACTGTCAGTAGTGATCAGTGCACATTTTTAGCATCAATCGCGGTATTTGTGTCACTCGTTCCCACAGTCAGTGTAAAAGTGTCTGCCGCATCACAGTCCCACTATAAAAAAGTCGCTGATCACCATTAGTAGAATGTTGAAAAAAAAAAAAAGAAAAAAAAAAAAATTGGCATCTACAACTATGGAACCTTTACGAGATAAGAAATTTGATAAATTGGATGTAGAAAGTTTTCCAAAAATTCACTTTTCTATTTAAAAAAAAACAAATAGAAAAAAACAAACAAAAAAAAAAAAAAAAAACACAGCAAACTAAAAACTGGAGAGGTGATCAGATACCACCAAACCGGGGGCAGGTTGGGGAACAAAAACTTAATGACTAAGTAATTTGTTAAGTAAAGCAGCTCTGTATCGCAAAAAGTGGCCTGGTCAGGGGGGATATTTGAGGGCAAGGGGTTAATAGGAGACCTTCATGCCTCTTGGCACTTTTAGAAAGATCTATGCTGAGGACCTCTGATGTTCCTTTACGGTGGGAAAGCTCTGGGTAGAATATATGAAAACCTAAGTAATCAGTCCATTTTCTAACCATAGACACTAGAAATGGCAGTTGAAAGCTTGGTAACAAGTGTTCTTTGCCTGCCAATATTGTCATGCCTCTTCATTAGAGGTCCCTGACAGTGCAGACTTCCTGACCAGCATACTTCCATTTTAGCTACTCTTAAAATGAAAGTCAAAAGGAGTCTTCCTTGCAGCATGCAACTATCCTTTTCAGAATGAAAAGGTCAGAACTGCCAGTCTGTCTCACTACAATAGGCATATCAAACTTGACAGTAGGCTGCATAGAGCACCAAATGTTCAAGGGGCTGCACCTACCCAATTTTAAGACAGACTGCACTTGAAAATTAAAGCAAGCTATACCAAGACAAAAAGGGTCCCAAGTCTATCTGCATGCTTATGGAAGCATTCAAATTAGAACATTCAATCTTTTATTCTTAAACCCACTGAGGGTCACAACAAGAGGGCTGCATCCAGTTCATAATACAGGTTCTCCCTGTGCCTGCGTGGGTTTCCTCTGGGTACTCTTTCCTCGCACACGCCAAAGACATGCTGGTAGGTCAATTGGCTCCGGTCTAAATTTGCCCTAGTATGTATGAATGAAAGTTAGGGACTTTGCTTGTACGCCCCTTGAAAGCGAGGGACTGCTGTGAATGTACTATATATGTAAAGCGCTGTAAATTGATAGCGCTGTACAAGTACCTGTAATAAGCTTGATATGCCTGTACAAGGCTTCTGTTAAATGTAACCCACCTTCTCCTAAGCATTGTCCTCTACTCACCCATTGTCTACATTTAGAATGGTCTGGCATAGCCTAGAGGAAGCCAATGGCATCTGGCACCTTCGAGCTTACAAAGCAGCAAGTTTTAGCTTGGAGAAGGGAGTTTTGTTCTAGAACACTCAGTGCAGCTCCAGGAAGACATTTGGACAGTTACACCAGAGTGATTCTCAAGGCAAGCTGCTGTTGTACCTTCCTGTATCAACTGTGCTTTGTTTTTGCCAGGACTTCATTCTAGTTTTGCTACCAATATACCCATCTGTAAAAGAATGGCTGTCAGTTCTTGTTAGCATTCACATGTAGCTGTAGTATTGAAATATCCCCCAAAATGCTTCAGAAACGTGCACCACTGAGGATCTTCAATGGACCGTCACACTAGCAAGATCTGAGACTACCCATCCACTCCTGTAGAGCAAACCACAGCAAGAAAGCAACATTTAGAGCTCGTTCACACTTGACTTTATTTCTAACTCTTGGTAAACGCCCCTATAGCGTTTGTGAAGTGTTTTTAAACGCTCCGCAAATGCTCCCAAAACGCCCTATTCTTGGTTTTGAGGCAGTTGATAGGCATTTGCCAAATGTTAAAACCGCACCACAAACTCCTATAATGAAGTTTAAATGGTATTAACGCTCCGCAAACACCTCGCAAAAGCTGGCCAGGTGTTTGCGGTGCGGCACCATAGACTTGAATGGGAGGCTTCAACTCCTGACTTGACTGGAGGAGTCAGTTTTGCCACGATGCCAACGCTTCCATGTGAACAGCACTGTGTGCTGCCATGTGCAGAATTTTCAGAGGCGTTTGAGAAGTGTTAAAAGCGCTCCCCAAACACCTGCTGACAATGCTAGTGTGAACATAGCCTAACAGCCAACAAAAGCATTGCTGTAGTAGTACTCTTGCTGCAAGCAACAGGACTTCTATTGTGGCATGGACCTTACTGGGGCCCTATAGAGGAAAAGGGAAAAAAAGAAAAAAGAAAAAAGAAAAAAAAAAACAAAAAAAAAACGACTCCAGTTTGACTATCAGTATAGCAAAAAGGATAACACTATAGCAAGCAACAGACAGAACTGTTATGTATCCATGTATGTGCTTCTATTCATCCTGTCAAATCTGACATGCCTACTGTAGTGAGGCTACCATTTGACCTTTCATTCTAAAAAGGCTAGTTGCATGCTGCAAGGAAGACTCCCTTTTGGCTTTCATCTTAAGAGTTGCTAAAATGGCAGTATGCTGGCCAGGTGTCTGCACCATTATTGTGTCAGGGACCTCTAATGAAGAGGCATGAAAATACTGGAGGGCAATTAAAGTGGAACTCAAGTCCTTCCAGATCCCCCTCTGTACATTCCTGAATCCTGATCTGTCAGGGGCCCCATAGCCATTCCACGATTTGAAATGCCTGCTTCTCCCTCTTCTCCATCAGTGCTTCTAGGACAGACAAGATGGATTCCAACATGAGGCTGCGGACCAATCAGAATGTAATATCTTTGATGCACTGATGAAGAGGGAGAACAATGGGCATTTCAAATCCTGGACTAGCCCTCTGCCCCCCCGACAGCTCAGGATGGCTAGGGGGCAAGTACAGTAAGGAGTGTCTGGTGTTGGGTCACCTTTATATTCTGTAAAAAGGTAACCAACCCTTTACCAGCTATTTTAGTTGCACGATCATCCAGTGTTCCTCTTCCCAAGACACCACTGAGTTTGTTTTTACTGGACAGGTTCTGCAAGATCCAAGGTTCCCATTGTCCTACTTTTTCCTCACAAACACTATGCAGACGGGCATCCCAAGTCTGTGGCAAGCTGCACTAGCATCCTTGGATTTGTGTAGCAGAACAGCCATACAAAGCAGTGTGAAATGTGCCAGTGGCTGAACACCCAGCAAAGCTCTTCATGTTCATTTGCTGGAAAATCTATAAAGCTGAAGTTACAGTGTCAGCACAGACACCAAGTGCTCGCATGTACATTCACAAGAACTTTACACAGAGGAAGCTTGAGGGGAGGGGGTTCTCTGCTCACTAAGGGAAAGGGCTTGGGACCATGCCTTCAGCCCCTCACAGCTCACTTAACTTTGACCACTGAATAGCAAGCAATGTGTTGGGCCCAAGTAGAAGTCATCTGATTTGCCCAAGTTCCTCTAATACTTTGAGTAAGTACCACCGTTTTGATGTACGTTGTCCAATAGGGTCGTTCAACTGCAGATAGCACACAACCTGTAGGTGGCATCCACCTGAAAGGACTTCTGACCAACACTGCCAACTTGCTTTTCCTTACCAAGTCCAGAGGATTTTCTGCAATGTTTCAATGACTTCCAGAACATTAATGGTTTATACAAGATTTATTAAAACAGGATCACGCAAAGTAAAATGCAAAAAAATTGCAACAATAAAAACACTAGGTAAAAAAAACAAAACAAAGAAAAAAAAAAAAAAAAGAAGATCTTTGCCCACAAAGTCTTTACTGCCAGGGCAGCCTCCACTGTTCAGGGACAGAAAAATTGTCCAAATGAAAAAGATAAAATCAACTGTAGAGTTTAACCATAAAGTTCCACTTGTGATCATCAAGAATCCTGAGGAAGGTTGACACTTCCACAATACATTGCCGCAGGCTACAGTCTGAAAGCTTGAAGTGAACAGTCCAAAAAAATGCATGTGGAAAACAAAAATGAAGAATTGTTCGTCTTGCAGAGCTTAAGACAGACAGGAGTAAAGAGCTGATTGTGGGTTTTGAGTGGGGGGGGTGCAATACGCTAGAGATGTTCTAAGCAGAGGCAAAATCATGATAACCGTAGCAGTCTGTGAAAAAGTCACCTACAAAAAGGGGGAGACAGCAGAGAGAAATAAAATTAGAATCCTCTGTAGAATGGCCATTGTGCCACAGATCGGTTTAGATTTCTTTTAGATTTCTCTGCTCCTGTCTCCCCACAACAAAAAGTTTGTTGAGATCTTCCTGGTGGTGACAGGGGAATTGGGGGGGAAAGCCGAGTGAAAAATTGGAGGTGTGAGTCGTTTCCTCACAACTAAAGCAGAGAAATGTAAAATGACTGACAGAATTAACGCACATTATTACTTTATCAATTCAAGGAATGCCACCCAAGTCTAGCAAGTTGGCTCTGGATGAAGGTGAATAATGAACCCTCCTTACATCTCCCAAATGAGCTCTGGCCTGAAATCAACTGAAGTTCAGCCATTTGCTGTCAGGTGTCAGACAACCCAATTTAATGGCACCGATGACAGCAAAGCAGCAACATAATGCTGGCTGGTGAACTTCAATCAACATTAGTCAGAGCCATGGAGAGAACTTCATGAAGGAGTCACCTAGTCACCACTCAGAACCAAGTTAACACATTTGGATGGAGCGATCCTTAAGATGTACCAATACCTACAAATAGGCGAGGCAGCCGATCAATTCACAAGGATGAGTGGGGAGAGCCCAGTTCCTAGTGAAATAGGATGAATATTCCAAGTCATAAAATGACTGCCTCCACTATGTATAGGCAAGTGGTACACTTCATAAAAGCCAGCTAAAATTACATACTGCTTTAAACTGAGAGGACCGATGCCAGTAAGCAAGAAGTCACAGGTGAGGATGGCTATGGCGCTTCAATGGTCAATTTCTATGCACCAAGTTAGTGCAGAGAGAATGATCTGCATTGGAAGATGGCCCTTACATACCACCACATTTAAGACATGTTTGGAGAGAGTCGCTCAGTGTTCTCAGAAAAGCAGCCTATTTTAGCTGGTCAACATTAAACTGGTTTCAGTTTGCACAGTGGGCCATTACGGCAACATGCAAAGGAAAAGAGTTTAAATAGTGATGCATGAACATTTGCTGTAATAAGGTGCAGTAACACGTCCACTTTCTGGGCAAAAAAGGTAGCGGTGGTCCTCTATTCAAGTGGCCTTTCCAGAAGGATTTCCCATCCTCTTGCAGGAGGAAAAAGTGGGTATTACATTTAGGAAGCATCCTCATCAGGATCCTGTATTGTTTCAGCAAGATGGTATACTGAGGAGTGTGCAGCTGGAGTGCATGGTGATCAGAAGGCAGAACACTTGTAATTAGGCAGTCAAGTAAAGATTAGAATTCTAATCAGGCCACGGCACACGCACATACAAATACCTGACCGTTCATAGGAAACCTTTAGTGCATAGCAGTGGCAGTACAATGTATCACAGCTTAAACAAGTATTTACAGATTAAGATTCTGTTACCAGACATTCCTATCTTTGTTTTTCCTGGTTAATTGCAATTGTGAAGCCACAAAAAATTGCCTGCAGGAGGCATTTTATACGATGACCAGACGATTGAGCTAGATTGCAAAATACTATACCAGCAATTTGACCATTTGTGATCGTTCTATAGCAAGCAGATGTACCAACTACATTTTATAAAAAAAAAAAAAAAAAAAAAAAAAAAAAAGAAAAAAAGAGAAAAAAAGAAGCCCACACCCTAAAGTGCTACTAAACCCAGGACCCTGCATTCACTATATCCGGTCTCCCACGGTACATGGAAATGCAATTTTAGTAACAATAAACTGCTAAATACCTTTATCAGAAGTATATAGCAGTCTTGTGATTTATCAGTGTCCAGCCAAGCACTGGTTAAAAAAAACTAGTAGGAGTTTTCATTTTGCTCTAGGAGGATGAGGAACCCCTGACCTCTGGACAATGCTGATCACAACTCCCAAGAAAAAAAAAAAAAAAAAAAAATTCCTAGCAATACACAAAACTAAGCAGGTGCAGAGTGACTCCACACAATATCTTATCAGGAGATAAGAGGGGAAGGATCAGAGAAGTCAGGATCAAAAAAGCCTTTACAGAATGCAGAGGATTAACCCCTTAGATTCCACAGAGTAACTAGCATGCTTTACTGCATATACAGACTGGCCTTACTGTTGTGGGTTTAGTAACACTTTAAATGAGCTCACTCGTGTGTGAGATAGGGACTACACTTTGTAACAAGTTGGACATAATAGGGTCTTACTTTGACCACATACACCCACGTAATATGTAGCTCAATTTACTTACTGTATCCAGCTGTCGCTGAAGTCTGGTAATTATAGTTTCCACCATAGCCTCCTCCATAGCCACCTGGATGAACAAAAACTTTTAGAAATCCATCCACACAAAATCTTTAAATTTACAAATGCCAAGTTTTTTCTTCAGATTTAATGGAATTAGACTGACCATGGGGGGGGGGGGGTAAAATAGCAAAATGTTAAAGCCTATACCTGAGTTCATGTAACCATGGTTGCCGCCACCAAAACCTCGACCCCGTCCTCTGCCGCGGTTCATTCCTCCTCTGCCTCCACGTCCACGCATGGGTTGTGGTGGAGGAGCTTCATTGTACATCATGCCAAAGCCTTGGTTATGCTGCAGAGAAGGTCACACTGTCAGTAAGGGATAACCAAACCAAGAAAAATAAAAGATAAAAGATAGTAAGTCAATTACGTCATAGCCAGCTTTTCCACCTCTGGGACCACCCCTGGGCATCATTGGTGGTCTTTTTTTCTTGGGGGCCTCAGAGTACATGTTGTAGTCCGGGAAGAGTTTTTCTAAGGCAGCAAGTGCAGCATAAGCCTTGGCAACCTTCTTATTAGAGCCAGAACCTTGAAATTTCTGATTGTCCACTTCGACCTACAAGTGAAGGAAACCTTATCAAATTCAGACTCAAAAGGATAAAGTTTTACGGATTAGGGCAACACAGGCCATGTTAGAGACCACTTGTCAGTCTGACATACCTCCATTACAAATCTCTTATCGTGACTGCCACCAGTTTCAGATATAAGCTCATATTTCAGTCCTCATGGGGGGTCCTCCTTTTTTCATTAAGCTCCATAACTGGGTTCTTTCCATGCTTGGTGAGAATAGGTCCTTGCTGCTTAGCACTCTAGAAACAAGACACCCCCAGTGTTATAATGCAACACCCAGCACTGTACACATGCACAAGATCTCAGCTCCACTTGTCACTCACCTCTGCCTCTCCAGTGGCAGAATCACCCTGTGCAGATTCTGGCTGAGACTGAGTCTGGACCACAGGCTTCTGTTCAGTCTCCTCAGCAGCTTCTTCCTTCTCTTCCATTCCAGTAGGAATGCCCATATCTTGCAAGACCTGCCATTAAAAACCAAGTAAGTTTTCGGCAAATAAAAAATTAGTTGGGCAAACCAAACTGCCTTATTATTTTGGTTTTTTTTTCACCTTAACAGCAACATGAAGCTTTGCAGTCTTCTTTGAGGGCCCAGAGGCTTCAAAGCTCTTTTCATCCACTTCCACAGACATTGTAAAGATGGGAGCATGAACTGGTCCAGTCTGGGATATCAGTTTGTACTGGAGGCCTGGCTTCAGCTGGTTCAATTTCATTAGGGCATTCATAGCTTGAGGTGGTTCAGACTTGTCATCTGCAAAGGGTCAATCATTACCACTGAACATAATCTTGGTTTAATACTCAAAATACATGTTACTGAACAAAATGGAGACCAAATGTCCTTTCCCGAGATATCAAGTTAGTTTGATTTTAAATAGATTCATCGACCTATAGAGCACATCTTTAAATACTCCCTACGTCATAACACCTTAAATCCCTGGGCAGGTGAGAAGAGTGTGAGGATACAGCATTAAAGCAGATATACCCTGCACTAGTTTAACCCTTTGAGGACTAAGATTTTGGAACGCCAAAAGAATCGATTTTTTGTGTTTTTAAAGTTCATACACTTCAGTTGCTGTAACTAAGCCATTTCATGAAATAATTGGCAAAAAGCTAGATCCATTTGTTGTTTGTTTGAGTCAAAATATTAGTTCTTAACAAAAAAAAAAAAAAAAAAAAAAAAAAAAAAGTCTTACCCATCTAAATTCCCTTGTCAAACACTGTACAAAGATTGTGGTAGCAATAGCGCCTGTAGCAGTTGAGAGCCAATATATACCAGGGGAACAGCATTGTACCTTCTGGATCTGACTGCAACATTGGCAGTGACGATAACCAAACAGTCCCACAATGAAAGGTGGTATGAATTGTACATTGGCACAAAGTTACACCTTGCCTAATGGCCCTCAAATACCTTTCTTCTGAATCTTCTTTTTCTTCTTACTTGGCGATTTGTCTTCTCCATCCTCCTCAATGGGGCGCTTCAGAGCTGGCATAACATAGGTGGTGCTGGGAGGAATCTGGACTGTAAAAAAAACAAAAACCAGCAAGAATAAGAATTTTTACAAAAGTACAGCTCTTAACAGAATCTACTTCAAGAATATATACCTGTGTAATCAATGGGTGGGTCAGGTTTGGTCTTCTTTGGCAACTTTGTGGGCAGAGGCAGGGGATCCATGCCCAATACTTTGTGAAGCTGGCCAAATGCTGCCAATCTAAGAGCATGCTGAAAAAGAAAGAAATCCCTCAGTACCCATTGTAGTTCCTTTGTCACTAGGAGACTTCAGTGGTTTTGTTCAAATTACACAGCAACAATACCTGTGCACTGTGGGTAATATCTTCACGCTGCTGTCTTTCAAGGTGACCAAGGGCATCAGTGGCTTCTTTTTTCACATGGATCATACAAGCCAGGACCATCTATAAAAACAAGATTCAAGACAGTTCATAGATCACTGAAGAATGAGCTTCAATGGCTTGCCAAGTGCAGCAGACATTTTTTTACTTCCAAAAAAAAGGGGACATGGGGCACAGCCCTGATCACTCTGAATAGTCTACAAGAGCAGTACACGTTTACACCAGAGCTGCCCAGAAACCAAATAACTCCACACAATTACCTATCTGCCGAAAAGTTGACTAAAAGGCAAAATTTGTATGTTGTGGACATGGAAAGGTGTTAGAACAAAATGCCAGCTATTGCCAGCAAGGGCCCTAGGACACTAGAAACCCCCCCCCCCCCCCATATGAAGACCACCATTATTGGGAGTTTCAACATTCAGTAAGGGTAAACTGGACAAAGAGGGTGAATCTCCCAAACGGGCAGAAGTAGCAATAAAAGCCTGCCAGGTGTTCCAATCCCATCTCCACTGACCAAAATGTCAAAGTTTTGCTTTCGTTACACTTAAAGCTAATCCAACAGAACAAGTTACAGCTGAAGAACAAACTGCATGACAACCTCAAAATCCTAGCACTGCATCCCAAAAATAAGGACACTTGTTACTAACCAAGCTATAAAATGTTGCCTGCCCACTGCATTTAGCAATACTGCATGTCCTTTTAAGATGCGCAAATTCCTTTAACTTTCCTAAAGGAATAGTGACGGCACAGCTACAGGTCATCTGGGTCCTTGAACGCAGTATAGCAGAAGCAGCAGTGAAAGTGTTAAAAGCAGTCAGACATGTACCTGGCATAAGTATTCCAGAGCTAAGGCATTCAAGAACTCTTCTGAAGGCTTCACCAGCTCCCATGGGCCTGTTTGCTGTTCCAATGGCTTTCTCACAAAGCAACTCAAGAGGCTGCGGAAGGAAGTTTAGTGTTAGAAGCAAACTTAGTTCTCTTCTAAATCTTGGAAAAAAATCTGACAAGATTTCACTACAGCCCCACCAAAGGGGCAATTGAATTGCAAGTAGCATGTTGAGTACATCCAAGAGCCACTCTAAAGGAATAGCAGAGAGCATTGCATGGAACAAGCAAATTATACAGACTGAACTTGTTTTGTCACTTGTGATTTCATTAAAAGCCAGACCATAAGAAAGTTTGTGATTTGGAGGCATTAATGCATATGGCAACACTATGTGGCCAAGGCAGACATTCTATATCCATTGTTCCTTGCACAGGGTACTTCTCTACTCCCTTGTGTTGGGACAATTAGTCTTAATGCGCCCCCTTGTGCTTCTCAGCTCAGAGGGATTTGAATAGTGTTGAATGTGCATCAAGGTCAAGAAAGAACCCTTGTTTTAAAAGGTTACTGATAACCAGCCAGTTTTTCAAGCATGGGGTTTTTGTGCAGAGATTGCTACACTATATACTTGTACTACGGGACTGCAGTACTTGCCATATATTGTGATTTGCTTTGATTCGTCTAACTTTTTTTTCCAAACTACAAAAACTAAATAGAAAGTTATTGGAAGGGGAAAAACCCACACATGGCACTTACCCATCCTCTTAAGGGTTCCCATGTAGGCACACGAGTGCAAAGATCACGCAAGACACGGATGACAATAACACATGACTTCAGACCATTAGCCCTAGCCTGAGACAATGGAAAATTCTGTTAGTTTTCAATGTTACCCCAACACAAGCCGGAAAAAAAGAAAGGAAATTAAAAAACAGAAGCCATATTTTGTAGTGCTACTTTGTCAAGGGTAAACATGTGAACTATGTTTAAGGATAAGCCTTATGTTACATTAGCAATTACTGTAGAGCAGAGGCAGAATTACTCTTAAAACAAAGCAGCAACTATGAACTAAGCATAATAGCACCTTTTGAAAAGGTGCATTTTCAATGTGTGCTTCCTCAGCTGCCTGTGGGAGCGACAGGAGCTAGATCAGCACAGCTACTGCTCGTGTTTGCTTAAAATATCTTAAGTCATGTGGACTGTGTTAATTTAAAGTGGATGTACAAAAGAAAAATTACAAAAATGGCATTTACTACTTAAGACAGAAATAATAAAATGCAAACCTGGAACCACTTGGCGTGTCGGAGCGACGCCAATGCAGCAAGGCATTTGTGCCTGTCCAGAACGTCCGGTGGATCGCTGACTGATAGCGTTTCTATTCATGGATAAGAAGACAAGGCACGGTTTGACCAAGGGGTTGTCTGTCAGGTGGACAGGGGATGAGGCAGCTTCCAGAGGGCAGTGGGGCTTCTTGTACTACCACTCACATATTACCCTGGAATCTGCTAAACTGCTCTAAGACAACAACTACAATACATTTATAAAATAATCCTCAGCTCCCCCATCCCCAAATCACTTAAAAACACAACCTTTAAAACCTCTACTATATACATAGCCTATGCTGACATGAAAAAAAATAAAATAAAGCAGCAGTCTGCATAACAAGAAACTGAAGGCAAAATATGTATATCTAGATAGAGATAATTTTGGTCAGTCCAGACCTCGCATTAAAAAATTTCATGCAATGCACAAGTTTTATCATTAAATATAGAGACAAATATGACAGAATGCTGCTTTAAAGTCACATGTGAGACCCAAGAGGAAATAAAAAAAAAAAAAAAAAAAAAAGCAAAAGACAGATGAGCTGCAGCTATCAACTTAGCCTACAGTTCTGCACTAAACCTTCCACCCAGCTCGACTGCCCTGGCCACAGCCCATGACAGAGAGAGTCCTGTTGGTCAAAGGTCCAGCGTCCCTAAAAATCGACAAACTAGAAGTCTTGATACGAGATCAGTTGTCAGAACCATATTGCAAAATATTCAGAGCAGCACAACAGATCAAGAGCGAGTCTATGCTGCAGCAAGACCATGTCTCATGCCCAGGGTTTTAGATAAGGCTAGTCTACCTATGGCAAGGTGATAAGGACAAAATTTAGAAATTTGACAAATTGTCGTCTAAGAGCCAGTCTAACTTTATCCAAAACATTGCACTGTTTCCTGGTGCTTCACATGCTGACTAGTCCCTTTCCAATAAGGGCAGGGGCTGTCATTCTTGCTGCAACACACACTGCCCATCAAATACATGCAAAACAACACCATGTATCTAACATCTAATGTGATACAGCATCACAGGGGCCTGCAATTGGTAAGCGCTTAGCAGGCCCCTGTAACACTGTATAACAAGACTAATATCCACAGATGGGGTCGCTAATTTACACAATTTAATATAGTTGGCAGTAAAGCCTAGAAGGTGGGGAATTGCAGTATTTACTGATTAGCCAATGCTGATAGTGTATTATAAAATCAGACAGGGAGCAGACGTGTTATTAGGAAGCCTACAACAGTAAAGGAAGAGGAAATGGGGGAAATAATGAAGAGGGTTTCAAGGGGGGTCAGTGTTACTTATCGGCCGTTTTCTGCCTTCCGTACCTCCAGAACTCATCTTTTCAACCTCCTCCCGAACCAGAGTGGAGGTCAGACGAATGTTAAGTGTAAGTTGGGGCTCCTTTGTGTTTTTAATTACAATTGTGGCCTCTCTGATATTAGGTAGGACTTCATACTTCTCCTCAGACACAGTCTGCAATCAAAGTCAGACAGTTAGCCATTTATAAGCTCACATCAGCCACGTTTTTTGTTTTGTTTTTTTTTTTTTTAAAAAAAAAAAAAAAAAACAACAACTTACCGCAAACTGCACAATAAGGTTATCAGACACCTTCTTCAGAAGCGAGATTGTGGGCTTGTCTTTGCACAGAAGAACTAGTTCAAGATCCAAATCCCCTTTCAAGAGAAGTCCCTTGGCAACAAGGCCAACCCTCATCACACCACGAAGTGTCCTGGTTGAGTTCGCTCCAGCCTTTGCTTCACTGAAAACAGGTCAAGAGGCAGTTAAGTGATACAGTCCACTCTCCAGACAATGCAAAGCAAGATTCCCATGACTGAACATTTAATGTCCACAGACATGTAAAAACATGAAGTGGAGAAGTGATTCTTTCAAACATAAACTGAGAATGAAAACTCAGGGTTTAGATAATCCTGGCTGTAACTAACTTCATAATGTTTGTGATGTAACTATTACCTTGTTTGGAGGACAAGAATCACTTTAAAATGAAAAATTGATAATATAACTACAGTTTATTCATTCTAAGACTCAAGCATTACATTTTCAGTGCAATCATACTCCTGGTTAGGATTCAACCAGGTGAACAGGCAATACCAAACAAGCCACACTAAAAACCCTTCATGTACAAGGTGAGGTGCAACTATCAGAAATGCAGCTGACTTAAGGTGCAGATTTGTTGAGTTACTATACTATGCCTTCACAAAAGGCCTGAATGCCAAGTGCTACAGATGCGGCCTGTCAAACAAAAGGATTAAAATGAAGTCTGCTTTAACGTTTTACCCGTCCTTTCCCTCTTCTGTAGTCTCTTCTGGGGTCTCAATGTCCGGTAGTTCAGTTTCTCCAGTTTGGACCTTCTCTTGCTGGTCAATCCAGTCAGACACAGCTTTCAAGGCCCTTTCTGTGTGCGACACCATGTTCTGGACAGCTTCAAGCTCCTCTTGAGTTGGATACACCACGGAGTGCTTTGCCATAACATGGCGGTCATCATTTGCGAACATGCGCATTGGACGCTAAAAAAAAGGGAGAAGTTAGGTCAAATATCTTCAGTAGAAGACAGTACACCTAGCAAAATATTCCTAACTCACCATTCATGTCAACTCACCATTATGGTCTTTTAAATGTTGTAACACTCAATTGAATTGTTCCCCAGGGGTAAAATGATCTGGAAAAACAAAACAAAAAACCATTAGCACACAGTTATCAGAAACAGCAGCACACCGGGGGGGGGGGGGGGGGGGGGGGGGGGGGAGATAGCATTCACGTGCAAGAGCTTGCCAGGACCCATACGCACGTGAATGCCTGCACCAGGCTGTATCAGATGGAGCAGTCTTCATGAAAATGTGAGGGAGACTAAAATTTTGCAATCAAGGCTTCTTACCATTCTCCCCCCACCTATTTATACAGAACTGTGTTTCCAAAGCTTAAGTGTACCATCACAAAATCTACCACACTCACTCCCATGCATATACTTGGGTGTTGTGATCCCACACTGACCAATCAAGATGGCAGATGACCCCCAAACCTGGAAGGGGATAACTGCACAGGGAACGGAGATCACATCACTGACACAGAAGTAGACAGAATTTAGTCATTTATATCTGAATCCTCAGCCATATTTAGGTCAGATTGATGGGGAGTTTGGAAAAAAAAAAAAAAAAAAAAACCCACAAAAAACCCCCCCTCCCCCCAAAAAAACCCAGCTGGTTTCTAACTAGTCAATATGGACTAACTGTTCCTTAGTTTGTAATTCTAACCTGCAAGGAATGCTTTCCATCCCAAACATATCCTATAGCTGAGCAAGGCAAAACCTCATTAGCCAGGACCATTCCAAGCCATACAAATTCATCCACATCTGTTGCAGCTTACATAAGAAAACATTTTATACATTTAGAAGCTAATCTAGGAGACTTACAGAGTACTATATATAGAACAAGACTCAATACCTAAGCTTAGCTGATAAACCAAAGTCCTAGCACAAGCCTGCAAAACCAGGAGAACAGATTGGGGGTTTTAGGTTTATATAAAAAAGGGGAAGATGCAGCAACCCAAAACAGTACAAGTGTTTAACTGAAAGCAGTATTAAACTCAAAGAATTAACATTTCAGTCTTGAAAGAACAGGAATGTAGACTTGACATCTAAGACCAAGCAGGAAAAGCTCAAGTATGCAGACTGCAAGTGACTACTAGGTAATAAGGAGAAATTGATCCAACGTTCCAGCTCCACCCATAAAA